ACCTTCTGGCCCTTTAAATACAGTTCCTCATGTTGTGACCCAACCATAAAATTATTTTCGTTGCTACTTCATAACTGTAATGTTGCTACTGTTATGAATCGTAATGTAAATACCTGATATGCAGGATGGTCTTAGGCGACCCCTGTGAAAGGGTCGTTCGACCACCAAAGGAGTCGCGACCCACAGGTTGAGAACCGCTGCTCTAGGTATATCCTGCCTCTATATCTCCATACTCTAGGTGAACAATCTAAACTCGTCAAGTCCCAAACCCGCTTCTCCACCCATAGTTATTACCTTAGCAAAGGGCACCACCATCCATCTAATTTCCTAGAAACTCTCTTACTGCCCCCATCTAATTATTATGGACACTGAAATTTGAATTTTTTATACTTATGTCATGAAATAGTCTTTTTATTTTTTTCAAACCATTCTTAGCTCTCGGGCCATACAGCACAGGCAGGGCCAGATTTAGCTTATGGGTCATCATTTGCCAGATCCTGCTCTAGATCTGGATTTTAAGATGGATTCACTCTTAGAATTGGAATCAGTAAGTCCCTGCCCATCTCAAAAAAATGATAGGTCCAGCCAGTGTGATTCAGTGGTTGAGCGTCAACCTATGAACCAGGAAATCACAGCTCAATTCCTGGTTGGGGTTGCAGGCTGGATCCCAGTAGGGGGCGTGCAGGAGGCAGTGATTGATGATTCTCTCTCATCATTGATGCTTCTATCTCTCTATCCCTCTACCTTCCTCTCTGAAATCAATAAACAAAACAAAAAAACAAAACACATATTTTTTTAAAAGAGAGATAAAAATGGCTTTCTTTCCCCCTGGATGAAAGGAGTTGGGCCAAGTGAGCCAAGGTTCTTTTATAATTCTAATCTATACTTATAGCTGTTAAACAGAAAAAGCATGGACTATGGTGCCAGAGCAACCTACGTTCAAATCCTGGCTCTGTCACCTACTTGCTGTGTGATCTTGGACAAGACACTTGACCTCTTTGTGCCTCAATTTGCCCGTATGTAAAATACTGTGCTAACAGTAGCTACATCACAGGGTTCTTGTGAGGATAAAGTGAGTTTGTACACACACAGTGCTGAAAGCATGCCTGCCACATAGGAAGCACTAGGTAAGGATTAGCTGTCATCATTCTTAAACAAAGTTTAATAATTCTCTATAGGGGAGGCTTACCTATGACAAATTCGTATCTCTGCTTGGAAGAAATTTTCAATTGATCCTGGACCTGAGCAGGCCATCTGTGGGAAAAGACTCCGAAACATTAAAATCCTGCCTCACCCAGGCAGCTGCCCCCAACACACACACTACAAACAAGTGCTTACCTCTCTGAGCTTCTTAAAGACGAATGGTATGCTCTGCCTTTGTCCTCTGTAGATGTCAGCAAAGGTCCCCTCACTGATTTTGTGGGTTTGGTTGAAATTATCGGTTGCCTGAACCACATCCACCTCATTCCAGAAAAGGCTGTCTACAGCCAGGCTCAGAAGGGTTTCTTGCTTAGGAATGGAGGTGCTGACATCCTGGGGATTTAGAGAAGAGAAGGAGATTAACATGAAATTAACATGGAAAATATTATTTTCCCTACTATCTCAGGGATCTTAGAACACCAGAGCTGAAGGGATAGAGAGGATCATCTTATCCAGTGAGGAGAAATGATAAAAAAGGGACATGAGTCCTGCAGCTCAGTTGAAGTGCCTTCCTCTACACCAAAAGGTTGGGGGTTCGATTCCTGGTCAGGGCACATACCTAGGTTGTGGATTCGATCCCATCGGGAAGCATAGGGTAGGCAACTGATCAATGTTTCTCTCTCACAACAATGTTTCTCTCTCACAACGATGTTTCTCTATCTCTCTCAAAATCAATAAAAACATATCCTCAGGTGAGGATTTTAAAAAAAAGACATGAATAGGGCCAGCTCAAATCCAAGCTCGGGCACTACTTTGCTCTGTGACCTTGGACAAGTTACTTAACCTCTATGAGCTTTAACTGCATCAGCAAAAGTGAACATAACAATCCTTGTACCCTGGAGAGAAATGTTGAAGATCAACTAAAATGTGAATATTGCTAGCAAATGGTTGATGGTTGCTTTTTGTTTGTTTTTCAATTTACAAAGGTAGCACCAAGGGGGTCAAAGAGCTGAGGTGAGATTACACAGCTGGTCAATGGCCAAGCTGGTTCCCTGGTCCTATACTTGGCACATGTGCTGGGAAGCAGGATATAGGTTCACATAACCAAAGACGCTTCTGTCATCAGAGCTTCGACACTGCTTGTGTGGGTAAGCCTATGAAAAGCAGCTCTGCTTCAACCATTTCCCTTCTTAAAAATAGGTGTGCAGCCCTGATCGGTTTGGCTCAGTGGATAGAGCGTCGGCCTGCAGACTGAAGGGTCCCAGGTTCGATTCTGGTCAAGGGCATGTACCTTGGTTGCGGGCGCATCCCCAGTAGGGGGCGTGCAGGAGGCAGCTGATGGATCTTTCTCTCTGATCGATGTTTCTAACTCTCTATCCCTCTCCCTTCCTCTCTGTAAAAAAACAATAAAATATATTTTAAAAATAAAATAAAATAAAAATTTTTAAAAATCAATGAAATATATTTTTTTAAAAATACGTGTGCATAAACTTATATTTTTACACTTTTTATGCTCTTTTAAACAGTTTTAGAAAATTAGTGGTGGTGCTGGGGATCCCATTATCCACTTAACTGCTATTCAAGTGTAGTGAGTTTCTTGCAGACTAGATATATAGGAATTTATTTCACAAACTAGAATCATGGTGCACACATTATTTTGATATTTGGTGTTTTCACTTAACATTACACTATGATCATTCTCCCAAGAATCTTTGGGCATGATTAATTTTCAAAGAAAACTAAAACCCTGTTTAAGTGAGTCTGCATTTTGGCACAGCTTCATGAATCAGCCCTGCAGTGCTAGCTGCTTCACCAGGCACCCTGCCCACACACTTTTAGGGGCCAATGAATATGTTTTAATTTCCTGTAAAATCAGAAGAACAAAAACAAACTTTTAAAGTCAGAGAAAATGTTTTCGTTTTTAATCTAGCTTGAATTATACTCACTTTTATATCAATGGAATTATAAAATATAAATTATTTTTAATGAAAGAAAGGGCCCGTGAAGGCACAAGTGCCTAAGACCCATGAAACTCATATGTGGCCTGGACCCAAGTCATTGAAAATTCAGAATAACACAAACATATTTTGGGTTGGAAAAAAAAAAAACTGGACGGGAGGCAGTTTGTAAGCAAATACTACTACAACCAATATATTTATGTATAAATGAGTCCTGCCAATTATCAGGTCTCATTTATACACAAATAATGGAAAAGCTCATTAAAAATGCTTATTCACTAGTGCATGAACCCCCTCACCCCCAACCCCATCCCAGTTGTATTAACTGTCAGTACTTACACCTTAAAAGCTCAGAGTAATTCAATTGGTCTCCTTCCCCCCGCCCCTCACCCCACTCTAACCCCCAAACTGGTCTCAGGGAATAAATGCACTGCTGTTCTGAGAAAGAGTGCCTCAAACTGGAAATATGGCTTTCAGATGGGGATTTACCTTTGAATCAGATGAAGCAGGAAGGTCAGTGTTTAAGGAAGGAGGGGCATCTTCAGGAGGAGGCAGGAGGCTGGCTCTGGCTGGAGCAGGCCCTGGAAAGAAGGGACTGTGGGTCAGAAAGTGGCCCCCCTGAGGAAAGAGGGAGGGGCCCCTGTCAGCCCCCAGGCCAAACCAGGCTCTGATTGTTGTCCAGAAGGACAGCTACTATTTCCTGACAGCCCCAGGCACCAGACTACACCATCCTCTTGCCGTACCTAAATGAATCCTTAGGACAACCCTATGGATTGGTCCCCATTGGGCAGGTGGAGAAGCAGAGGCACTGGAGGTGGCCACTTACTCAGGGCCACATAGTAAGTGGCAGAGCCAGCCTTCAAATGGAGTATCACCTGTGTGACATCTAATCCCTACACTGTCACACCTCCCTCACAAGGATCCGAGAACACAGGACAATTAGCTACGACGCCTGCCTTCCAGAAACCTCCACCATGGCAGGAATGGCCATGACGAGCCTCTGAGTCAGAGCAGGAGAGGCTGGCCGTAGCAGGCTGGGGGATCAAGGAGGGTTTCACAGAGGAAGGAGCATTGGACCTGGGCTTGAGAGATGGGGAAACGTTTCTGAAAAGTGGGTACGAGGTGGGAGGGCACCGAGGCAGTGCAACTGGACTGTGTGAAGGGAAAGTCCAGGCGTGCGGTAAATATTCCAGGCACTTAATCAGCAAACACTGACATCAGCGACAGCTCTAAATGCCTCACTGTTTTAACTCATTTAACGCTCACAACAATCCTGGGAGATAGGTACCATTATCATCGACTCCTTACAGATGCTGGAAATGAGGCCTCTGAGTAACTGGGGGCCGCCCTTCCAAGGAAACCTGGCCTTGACCCAGGGGGGCAGGTCAAATTCACCTGCTTCCCATATTTCTGGTTGATATCAGGAAAGGAATGATTAATCTGGACTTTTGGCCATAAAATAACGCAGAAGACTGAAAATAGAACCCAGGTGAAACGACAATGAGCCTTGTAAACTATTAACCTGGGCAGCTGATACAACTCATCTGATACAAAGCCTGAGGTTCTTTCCTCCCCACAGAGCCCAACAGGAGGCCACCCTAAGCCTCTCCCCTGGGTCTGCTACGGCTTCCAGAGTTGCCAGGGCTTTTTTTGTTTTTGTTTTTGTTTTCCACATTTTCCAGTATTGGCTATATTTGAAAGAACAACACTTGAGAAGGTACCATATTTGAACACTCACAATGCATCAGAGAACCCCAAAATGGGACACTACAAATACACACACACACACACACACACACACACACACACACACACCCCTCAGTCCATCAGTGCACTATAACCGTAAACTAAGCTTCGGGGTAAGAGCTATAGCTCAGGCACTGGAAGTAAACCTTTGGCAAATACACAGATTAATTAATCCAGGTTGAAAACAAAAAAATAATACCAGCTATGTGCTGCAGACCAGCTGCTGGCAGCACAACTGATGAGAGCGCTTGCGCTGCTGCTCACCCACATCCATCCCCCATCCGCACCCAGGCCAAGCTTCCCGCTGGCTCCTCTCTCCCCGAAGTGAAGGAGTGAAGAGGGGAGACTAAGAGGAGACCCAAGACTCTGATGGCTGGGGACTCTGGTCTCCCAAGGACACTCTGAGCCTGCCTTAGACTTCAAGCAGGACACTCCCTCCCAA